GATGTGGCTGACACGCGGTCTGCTGACTGGGCAAAAAGTGCCTGCGTGTCGCTGACGCGGCGCTGACTCGCTGGTGACGTCAGCTATGATGCAGGTCTTCTTCTTTCCTTGAAACTGTGGGCTAGATGACGTCAACGATCTCACCACCGGCGCGTAGGTGGCGCGTGTGGTTGCTTCTGGTGGCCAAAATATTCCCCAAAAATACCAGTTTTCTTCTCTAGATGAGACGAATCTAACGATATGTTCAGATTGCAATTCCGAGCAAAATTGAAAAACTTGCATTTTCAGACAGTAGAATTTTATCTGAAAATTCTGGGTAAAATACCAAAAAGCTCAACCAGGCTCTGATATCACTTATTGTGAATAACATGATCATGCTAATATGAGAGAAAAATACTTCTATTACTTTCAAGAATAGAAGGAAGAGACATACAAGCTCTAAGTAAAAACTCTCAAAAACACTTCACATATCTCTCAAAGATATTCACAACTCAAACTTGATTGTCATATGATGATCTATGATCTAATTTACTTATAATAGAAAGACTCTCCAAGCTCTCTATTTATACCACCAAAACTAGGTACTAGGAAGGTGGAAGGAAGGTATGTTGAAGCTATGATGAAGCTTCAATGGAGGTGTGGGGAAAATGGTTCCTTGGTGTGAAGAAACTTCCCTTGTCATTGGTGGCGTATCCAGAAAAATATGCCAGAGGGGGCGAATTTACCTTAGATTAGGAAAAAAATCACTAAAAAATCAGACTAATCATATTAAGAAAATAATTTTGAAATGATTACAAATAACAAAACATTCTTTGGACAAAAACATTATGATATCGTGCTTAATTAAATTTCATTTGATAGAAATAATTTTATCACATGACATCAGTAATTTGTGCAAAATTATGTCAATATGTAAATGAATCAACTAAGGGAATGATCAAGCATGTAGTTAGAATTAGCAAAAATTGAAAATTCACAAGTGTATTAAGAAATTAGTTTATATTATGTACAAAATCATTTCATATGTGAAACTAGAATGATAACTATATTGATGTAGTTTAGATCTTTCCAACAAGAAAAAAAGTTAAAAAGAATAATGTAAAACTACTTAGAATTTGTTTAGGGCTTCAAAGGCAAAAGCAACAAAAAATTAAAAAAAAAATCAGAAGCAAAGATTCTAGCCCTTGACCAATTAGGAAGATCTACTAATGCTTGCGCTTCTTTCCACTCAGCCACGGACGTATATGGCCATATATCTAATACTTATTTAACACAAAAATATATGTATAATTTTAAATATGGTGAGTGTATGTGTGTGTGTTTAACACAAAAATATATGTATAATTTTAAATGTGGTGTGTATATGTGTGTGTGAACTAGGGCTGTTAGCGCACCGAGCTTTTATTGAACTATTCGAGTTCGAGCTCGGTTTCGAACCTAACGAGCTGAGCTTAACGAGCTTTCGAATCGAACCCGAGCTGAGTTTTAAGTTCGAAATATTAATCGAGCCGAGTACGAACATAGTAGTTTTTGGCTCGGTTCGAACTCGAGCCTATCGAACACCCCGAAATTATAAATATAATTTATATATAATAAATATTTAAATGTAATTAGTATGAATTTATGAATTTAAATATGTTTATTAACGAATCGAGTACTTGTCGAATCATTCGAGCACGAGCCTATTAACAAACATCACCTCAAATTTTAAGTTCGATCATATTTATCGAGGTTATCGAGCACTCGGTTCGAACATCGAACGGCTATCGAGCCGAACACGAGCCTCATTTGTAAAGCTCGTCGAGCTTCGAGCTCGAACCCGAACACTATTAATTCCTTATCGAGCCAAACTCGAGCTTTAGGTGTTCGGGCTCGACTCGACTCGTTAACACCCCTAGTGTGAATAGGAAGAGTCAACGGAGCTGGCTCGGACTGAGGCCATTCACCCTTGTTGTTTTAGGGTGTGTTTGGGAGTTTGAGGGTGAGGGAAGGGAAAGACTTTGAAGGAGAGTAGAGGGAGGGGAAGGGGAGGGAGATGGGAAGGGATTCCTCCTCTTGTTTGGGAGTTACAAATTTCAAAAGAGAAAGATTTTGGAGGACATATAATTAAAATGACTAGATATATATAATGAGTAAATAATAAAAAGGTACTTTAAGATCAACCATGCATGATGCATCTTCATTATTATAAACGAAATGGTAAACATTGAAATAATATAACTTAAGGCTCATAGAGGAGCTGGAAATCTTGAAATAGGACACTTTTTTATCATTGAAATAGGACACTATTTTTTTATCATTGAAATAGGACACTATTTAATTAATTTATTATAAAATAATTAAAATGGAAATGTTAAAAGCATATGAAAATCAAGGATACGAATATTAGAATATCTAATTAAATTGTACGGAGTAATAAATTACGAAAATATTATATACTGTGTTTGTAATTTAACTAATTTTTAAAAAGTAAAGGAGTGCAGGATCCATGCATGATACTTTATTTTAACTAACATAGCTTTATTTTTGTAGAGTATTCCCTTCTGAATTGCCATTTTAGATGGTATAAACGCATGCCGTATCAAAACCTCCCCATTCGGAGGAACTAAAAAAGGGGGTTTAGGAGGATTATAAAATACTCTAAACACTTTCCTTCCTTTTTTAAAAACTCCCAAACACAAAATGAGGGGTCATTGACCCTCACATCCCTTCCCATCCTCCTCAAAATTCAATTCTCAATCACACCCTTAGGATCAAATCGAACTGCAAATTGAGAATCTCAATTTGAGATCTTCCTCTACCGAAGATCCAATGCAATAATAGGGCCGATAGTAAATGGTGTAAAAAACAAAAGATGAAATAGGAAATGTATGAAAAGAAATATAAACAAAAATAAATAAATAAACCTCAACTGGTAGCAAGGGAGTGCCACAAGGGTTAGGTCCCGTGTTCGAATCCCGCCAACTGCGATGAGGGGTTACTATGCTAAAAATGCATAAGGCCTCTGTAAGTACCGGGGACAGAGCCCCACTCTCTATCTGTCAGATTGAGATTATAGTCCAATTTACATCCTCCCAATGTACCATTCGGTCGGGGTTGGGGGACCCTCTGGGATGGGGTGTCATCCTTTTCCATTTGGTGTATTCAATTAGAGTTCTTCTTGTTGTACCAACTTTTGTACACACATTTGTACTCACCCCTTTATTTTTTTCTGTGTACACAGACAAACATACACAAAATGGTGTCTTGTTCTTAAAGAATTGCCTGTGTGCACCAGCAAAATAGGGGAGTGTGTACAAAAGTGGGTACAAACAGATTTTTTGATTCAATTATGATTAATTTGATCTATCCTCCACTTGGTCTCTACACTTTCTTATATTACATTGGATCCTCTTACCACCATGTTACTACATAGGTAGTATAGTACATGTTATTATAAATACATGCTCTCACTTTACATTGGAGTCGCATAACTCACCTTAAGTTCTCCCATAGAAAATAATGAGTTCTTTTCCCACATTTTACCAATCCATTCATGAAAATGAAGAAGAAGAAGCTCATTTCGGCGGCATGCGAAATTTTGTAGAGCAATTGTTAGAGCATCACCAATGGACCATCGTTAACATGAAATAAATTATGACACATGTCAACCAATGAATGGAACCGTCATCCATATCATGTTTGAGTGGTGTGTCGTGGATGTGAAGTGCAAAAAATAGGTCCAATCCTTCATGTTAACAACCTATTAAAAGTTCATCCGTACATCATATTTGATCGAACCCCTACCACATACCTGCACGCCAAATCGTCGAGATTTACATACCGTCTCACCTTCTATTACAATATCATCAATTCTAGATCAAAAGCTACAAACAGTATATCTCTAGGCTAAATATAAACTTTATGGGGTTATGGAATTGGGTCAAACAACCTGCGTAATCCGCAACAATTTTTCGTAAGAGTTTTGATTTCAAAAAATCAAAAAGTGGTGCCGCCAGACATCTGCTTGTGAATCTATTTTGAGAGAAGAAGATAGTAATTTTAAGGGAAGTATTTGCAAATGGAAGAAATCAAATAGCGTACTAGAAATTAAATTCAATGAAGAAGATAAAGCTTCTATTTACTTGGAACGAACATCTGCCAAAGGGGAAAAAGAAAATGGGTGGGAGATATCACATTTTACCACTATATATTTATCTCGTAAATGTATTCCATCGTAGATTTGATACATGTTGGTTGTACTTCTCCCACATGTTTTGGTGACTCAGCATGTGAACAACGGTGTTATCATAGGACAGTGGTGTTAACATTGTTTTAATTAATTGATTACAGGTCATCATTACATCTCCGATAACATATTGCGTTGGAGATGGATATATAACGTAAACGTTAGACTGTGATGACGAGGCTATTTTTTTAACGTCGACAATCACCCATTGGTGATGCTCTTAGTGTGTATGTGTGGACATCTAAAAATTATTGGGCCGGTTCTGATAGTCATTGGGCCTCTTCAAATAGTATCGAGCTATTATTTTCCTTATTGGGCCTCTTTTAGACGCTATTGGATCGAACTCAAGTATAACGGGCTACTCATAATGGTTGTTGGGCCTTTAAAAACAAGGGAAAATATTATTATATTCGGATCATTTGAATATTCAATTAATTTTATTATCCGAAAAGAATGGACTGGTCCTAGTAATTTTAGCCCACTATCAAATATTGGCCCAATAAATAAGAGACATGATCCAGTATATGAAGATGAGGATGAATCTAGTCAAGAAATCAGTCCATATGCATGAAAAATAGCTATGAACCCTGTTAAAAAGGCTGTCCAAATACATCAAACAAGTGCTGATTTTTCTAGCTATTAAATGCAAGCAAATAGAGCTCAAAGCCCACTTTCTTTGAGGCCCTAATCATATGAAAGAATTTCATGCAACCCTAAGCCAGATTTTATCTCATCCACACCTATAAATAGGGGTCTCAGTTAGGAGGAAGAGGGAGAGATTTTTTCAGACGAAGAAACGTTGTAGAAAAGCTCTCAAGAACTCCTGAAAGGCTCTGAACGATTCCGAAGAAGAGGAATAGATCAAGTCACGAATTTTATTAAGAATATACGAATAATCCTTCGTGATTTCGTCGATTCTTAATAAAATAAATCCAAAAGTTGAAAACGTTCGAAGATCTGAAGAACGAAGCTTGAAGATTCGAAGATCTGAAAAACAAAACTTTGAAGATTCGAAGATATGAAGAACGAATCTTCGAAGATTTGAAGATACTCATATGAAGATTGAATTGAAATTCAATTGAAGATCAAGCCATATATCCCGGGAGGCCCTTAAACAAAAGATCAAGCCATAAAACGGCCCTTTTGTTGAAGATCAAGCCACTTGAAAGCCGGAGACCCTTCAAGTTGAGTTCTTAATTCAAGAAGATTTGAAGATCCGACGAACGAAGATTCGAAGATTCGAAGATCTCAAGAACAAAGATTTGAAGATCTGAAGAACGTTCGATCGTTTGAAGGGATAAAGATTTAATTTTGAATTAATTCCTGTAATTATATTCATGTCAAATTGCAAGTGAAGAATCAGAGGATTCATATTTAGAGATTGTACCCAATATTCTCATATATTATTATTCGCGATCAATTTTAAGTAAATACTTAAAATTTGTTTCAGAGTATGGTTCTTAGTACTTACTAATTTCGCAATAAGTACTTTCTAAACAACAGTTTCATTTCACAAGAAGTGAAATACTCTTCTTACACTCAATTGCGAAGAAAAAAACAATGTATTCTAAGTTTAGAAAGTTTAATTTATCAGTAAGATCTTTAAATATTTTGAATTTTGATATAACGAAAAAATTTCACTTTTGGTCTCATGACTATTATACCACTTCCACATTCAGTCCCTTACTTTCAGTTTGTCCACATTTAGTCCGTGACCATTATCCCCTCACCACCCCTTTTCCTTTCGACCAAAATTCCGGCAAATTTAATCCACTTATCAGCCTCAGAATGACTCTTTGCATTAAATTTTAAATAAGGTTGGGTTTTTTATATCATTTGTTGCATTAAATTTGGTTTTTCATACCTAAAATCTGCATTAAATTTGACAGAATTTTGGTCGGAAGGACGAGGAGTGGTGAGGGGATAATGGTCACAGACTAAATGTGGACAATCCGAAAGTAAAGGACTAAATGTGGAAGTGATATAATAGTCATGTGATCAAAAGTTGAATTTTTTCTTGATATAACTGATAAATCATGCGGAGTAATATAATTATGATATGTGAATTCCATAGTAACACACTGTGAATCTCCTTACTGATTAATTAATTAAGGCTTACAATTTTCCAAGGCCTGAATCCATCATATTTCAATTTCGCAGCTTCTTAAGCTTTTTCCTTCTCCGCCTTTATTTTTTCTTCTTCCTCTCCTTTCAATTTGGCATCTTCTTTAGCTTTCTCCTCCACCTTCTTCCTTTCTTCTTCCTCTGCTTTCACTCTGGCGTCTTCCTTAGCCTTCTCCAGAGCCTCAACCAGTGTTTCCAGACAACTAGTCTCGTCCGCCTCACCTGATTTCGGCATCAAGCTCTCAGCAACATCCGCCGGCGTAATTTCCGTCTCCGTCAACAATCGTTCGATCGTCGGGAAAAGCTCGTGGGTTTCGACCCCCAAGTAGTTGTGAGCAAGCACTTTAAACGCTTCGAATCCGCAATAGGAGAGCTCGATGTGCTTATCCATTCTCCCTCTCCGGATTAAAGCCGGGTCGAGCTTTTCCTTGAAATTGGTGGTGAAGACGATGATCCTCTCTCCTCCAATAGCGGACCAGAGGCCGTCGATGAAGTTGAGAAGACCGGAGAGCGTCACTTCGCTCTTCTTCTCTTCAGATTTCTTCTCTTTCCCGATCTTCAACGGGTCGTCTACCTCTGTTTCCTCTGGTTTACCTTTCCTCTGGCCGGTGAGTTCCAGAGAGCAGTCAATGTCCTCGATGACGATAATGGACTTACTGGAAGTGTCGATTAGGAGCTTTCTCAGGGTAGTGTTATCCTTCACGGCGGTCAATTCCAGGTCATACACGTCGTATTCAAGAAAATTAGCCATTGCCGCCACCATAGAGGACTTCCCGGTGCCCGGAGGGCCGTAGAGGAGATACCCACGCTTCCACGCCTTCCCGATTTTAGCGTAGTACTTTTTTGATTTGCTGAAGGTGATAAGGTCGTCTATGATTTCTTGCTTCTTTTTGGGGTCCATTCCGATGGTTGCAAAAGTAGCCGGATGTTCGAAGGCGACTTGGGTCCACATTCTCCGGTAAGGGCTGAAATATGTTCCGTCGTTCCTTATGTTGGTGTACAGCTTCCTCTGCCGGTCCTTCACCGTGATCTCCTTCCCCTGCTCCAACACGTGTTTCAGGTAAGCTCCGGTGACGATGTCGCGGTGCTTCTTGTGGAATTTGAGGGTGAAGAACTTCTTGACTTCATCTCCGCCGCGGAAAGAGATGGTTTGGTTGGTGGGGAGGTTCATGTTGGAGACCCACCAGAGTTTGAACCCCTGAAAGTCGTCGGTGACCTCCTCGAAATAGTCCATGCTGAGAACCAGAGCCTGGGAGTCCTTGATGTCCTCCGCTTTGAGACGCTTAGCCTGATCGGAGGAATTGGCGGCGAGGTAGCGCTCGATGGCTTTGTACATGTTGCCGGAGTTGCCTCCCCTGAAGTTGTCGCCGGAGAATTCGTGGAAGGAGATGTGGACGTAGGGGTAGAACAGCCTTCTCAATCTCTTGGTGTGTCTCTTCAAAAAAGTAAGGACTTCGTAGGGGCAGTACTGGGAGAAAGTCGCCCAAACCAGCATGAGGGTCACCACCGTCGAGCCCAGCGTCCCCCACACAGCCTCCGTTCCCATTCCCATCGCCATCGGCACCATCCTTTTTTTGTGCCGGCGAATTATATTTCCGGTGGGTTGGCGGCTTTTCAGAAAGGGAAAAAAAAGGGTTGAAATGATTTGTAAATGATATGCACTCTCCAGTAGACTCCGCTCTGCTGCCTGGTGTCGTTATATATAAAGACAGGCCTATAAAGACCGATCAAGTAGTATGGTAGTGTACTCTTTTCCTGTAAGGACTAATAAAATTGCATTATGACCAGAAGTGCCTTAAACCTTTCAAATTTCCAATTCCATTCGAAGTTTGGGAAAAGAGTTTTTAGTACTTTAAGTCCTTCGACTATTATGTCATTTACACTTTTGGTATTTGATTTTGATTTTTTTCACTTTTAGTCCTTGACTATCTTGTTAGAGACACTTTTGGTACATGTCTTTGAAAATTTCCATATTTAATTCTCCGACTTTCATAAAATTGACACTTTTGGTCCTTCAACTATTATAATAATGACATTTTTAGTCCTCCATTCATTGTATCAAAATCATAATGGAAGGACTAGAAGTGTCAATTTGATAATATTCAGAGGACTAAATGTGGGAAACTTTAAAGTCAAGGACTAAAAATGTCTCTAGCACAATAGTCGAGGACTAGAATTGGAAAAAATAAAAGTCGAGTACCAAAAGTGTCAATGACACAATAGTCGGGGACCAAAAATGGAAAAAACTCTTTGGGAAAATACTAATTTAGCCACAATTTCAATGTCAAGATACAATACTTTTGATTTAATGGAATTAATAACAATGCGAGTGATAGGCACTAGTTGTTAGTGCCTAAGTATACATTTTTATTATCATTTGTAATATCTATTTACTAGTATTGTGCAAGTTTATAGTTGTTAGTTTGCATTTGATTGTAATCGTATTTCTAGCATTTTATTGTTTGGTGTTAAGTTGTAGTTAGTTTGGCTATAAGTTTAGGATAGGTTTGGAAGCAAAAAGGATGAAGAAACCTGAGTTTTGTGCAAAACCCGGTCGGGTATGGACTATACCCGGCCGGGTATGGACTATACCCGGCCGGGTATGGACTATACCCGGCCGGGTATGAAGTGACAAAGGAAACTGCTGCAAAACAAGCAAATACCCGGTCGGGTATTCCATATACCCGGTCGGGTATTCTGTGATTTCGAACCAAAGAACGTGCAGAAGACACAAAAACATGGGAAAATATTTGATTTGGTAAATACCCGGTCGGGTATGTCAAAATTACCCGACCGGGTATCCGGCATTAGGTGTTGAAAACACCTATAAATAGCCCCATTTTCCTTCACATTTCATCATCCTTTCTTCCATACTCTTTAGCTCAGTTTAGAATAGCATTTCTTTATATTTTTCTAGCTATGTTTAGTCTCCAAATGAGGAGCTAAACTTCCATTCTTGGTTTTGCTCTTGAAGCTTGTTGATTATTAAAGTTGTGAGTTATTTTCTTAACTTCTTCTCTTGATTATTAATTCTTCCCTTAATCTCATTCTATATTAATGTTGGATGGTTGCTAAGTGACGATTAGTTAACGTTCCGACATTAATTACTACTAGAAATGATCAACGAACCGATGGTTAATCGTTGGTGGTTTCACAAGTAAGTAACTTCGGTTTATTAATGCACGGTCGTGGTTAATAGACTTAAGAGGGATCAATTTTGTTGGTTAAACCGAAACCGTTGTGTTAAGGTTATCAATCTCAATTGATTTCATCAAGGAGTTAAAAAGATTGAATGCTACTATTATATCGGTATACGGCGTTGTTCTGTATTTGATTAATAGTAAGGGTTATTAATGAACGGTTGTTGTTAATAACTACCCTCGATGAATTGGAGATACTCCTCGATTGAGTATTCGAGAGGGGATAAGTTATAGATATAACAAGGATCGACTAAAATATATCAACAAGTGGAAAGTAGCAAAGCCAAGTCCCTTTTATTCTTGAATTAAACACATATAGGTTGTTCATCTTAGTTTCTTAATTGAATTAAATCACTCAAAACCAAAACCCCCCTTTTTAATTACTAGTTTCATAAAAAGAGAATCATTCCTTTCCCTGTGAATACGAACTCTACTACGCTATACTACGTATAAGTGTTAGTATTGAAATTTATTTTGACGCACCGTGACAAAGTGTTCGTCAAATTTGGCGCCGTTGCCGGGGAAAGGCAATTAATTTTTCTTTTTATTTTATTTCAAGAAAAATCAAAAAAAAATTATATAAAGTTTTCTATTTTTGCTGAGCTTTGTTTGAGTATATGGTAAAAACCCGATCCATAAACCAACTCACCTACCAAACAAACCCCGAAATAGAAAAAGCTCTCGAGCGGTTAAAAAGTAAATTCTCAAGTACCGACTCGGGGGAATCCTCGAGTGCTAGTTCTCAATCTAGCGAGTCCGAGGAGACAATATCAATGGCTCTTGAAACAAGAACGCTGAGGGAGCTCACAGCTCCAAATCTAAACCAACAACCCTTATGTATCACCTTCCCAACTCTTGATGCAGGTGCTACATTTGAGTTAAAATCCGGACTCATACATCTACTTCCATCTTTCCACGGGCTAAGAGGAGAGGATCCGAATAAACATCTTTCGGAGTTCCACATTGTTTGCACAAGCATGTGCCCGAACGGTGTTACCGAGGAGCAAATTAAGTTGAGGGCTTTCCCATTCTCCCTCAAAGACATCGCCAAAGATTGACTATTCTATCTTCCCTCGGGAAGCATAGACACTTGGACGGCCATGAAGAAGAGCTTCCTCGAAAGGTATTATCCCGCCTCAATCTCCTCATCTCTAAATAAACAAATCAGCAATGTGGAGCAAAAAGATGATGAATCATTCTACGAATTCTGGGAACGATTCAAGAAACTCTGTGCGAGCTGTCCGTATCACGGCTACTCGGAGCAAGACCTCATCCTTTACTTTTATGATGGTCTTTGCGATGATGATAGACGGATGATCAATGCTGCATGTGGAGGAGGGATAGTCAACAAAACTCCTTCTCAAGCTAGGAATCTTATCTCGGAGTTGGCCGAAAATTGTAGACACTATGATCGGCGGTCAACAAAGAGAGTCATGGCAGCGGAATCCAACAACTCGTTGGAGAGTCAAGTAGTCGGCTTGACTTCTTTGGTTAAAGATTTCCTTTTAAATCCAAAAACCCAAGAAGTCAAGGTCTGCGGCATCTGTTCAACACAAGGGCATCCCACAGATTCTTGCCCAACTTTACAAGAGGAGAACTCCGAGCAAGTCAATGCTGTGGGGTTCCAAGGCCAAAGGAGGTACGATCCTCACGGCAACACCTACAATCCAGGATGGAGGGATCATCCAAATCTAAGGTACGGAAACTCTCAACCCCCTCAACAATCAAACCCTCCCCCTCCTCAACAATATAAACAACAAGGCCAAACATCGAACTCAAGCATGTCCACCGAAGACATGATTCGAGCATTAGCCATGAATATGACTACGATGCAACAAAGTGTGGCCCAATTTCAAGAAACCACAAAGTCTAGCATCCACAACTTGGAAAGCCAAATGAGCCAAATCTCAAATGCCGTGAGTAGGCTAGAAGCTAGGGATTCGGCAAAACTCCCATCTCAAACGGAGCTGAATCCAAGGCAACAAGCTCATGCGGTCACTTTGAGAAGTGGCAAAGAATTGGTTATGACTAAGGCAAAAGTAAAGAGCCATGTGGGAGAAGAGGAGGAGGAGATCTTGATGCCAAGCACAAACCCTCAAAATGAAGAGGAAAAAGAGGAGGAGATCACACCTCAAAGAAAGTTCCCACCGATCAACTCATATGAGCTGGTGCCACCTTTTCCGGAGGCTCTCAAGGATAACCGGAAATACAACAATGACAAAGACATCTATGAGACCTTCAGCAAATGTGAGGTAAATATCCCTCTTCTCAATTTAATAAAAGGTGTTCCTAGGTTTGCCAAGTTTTTAAAAGAACTTTGCACAATTAAAAGGAAACACAAGTTGAATGGCAAGCATAAAATCCAAGTAAGTGAAAGAGTGTCGGCCGTTTTTCAAAAGAAACTGCCTAAAAAGTATAGTGATCCGGGAATGTTCACTATACCATGTAAACTTGGAAATTCTAGTTCTTCTAGGGCCATGTTAGATTTGGATGCATCAATCAATGTCATCCCATATTCTCTATATAAGTCCATAGAACTAGGACCTTTACATGAGACGGGGGTCGTTATCCAACTTGCCGATAGATCCAATGCCTACCCAAAAGGTGTGGTAGAGGATGTTCTCTTCATGGTGGATAATTTAATCTTTCCCGCTGATTTTTACGTTCTTGAAATGGAGAACGATAAAAATGCAGTCCCAATTTTACTAGGCAGACCTTTTTTGAAAACGGCCAAGGCAAAAATTGACGTTTTTAGTGGAGTGTTAACCATGGAGTTCGATGGTGAAAAAGTCGAATTTAATATCTATGACTCCATGAAATACCCCACTGATAATCACTCTCTATTTGCGATTGACACTTGCGACACTTGGGTCCAAGATGTATTTGAAATTGAGGGAAAGGATGAAGTACTAAGCTCAATAGAAAACGACATAGAGGATTTTACATTGGAATACTCTATGTCGAATAACATGAAGGTTATGGTGGCGGAGTTAAATCAACTCCCACTTTTGCCACCGGGCTCTAAAGCCCTCCCACTAACCATTCCAAGCGAGGAACCGCTACCATCTGTTTTGCAGGCACCGGAGGTGGAATTAAAACCACTCCCTGAAAATATGAAGCATGTGTGCTTGGGTGAAAATCACACCCTACCGGTGATTATTTCAAATGCCCTGTCCCACGAACAAGAAGAAAGATTGATCGCGGTCTTGAAGGAATATAAATTGGCCATTGGATGGTCTATTGCCGACATCAAAGGCATTAGCCATCCACATGCATGCACAGGATCTTGCTCGAAGACGAGGCCAAAGCGGTGAGACAACCGCAACGAAGATTGAACCCACCCATGATGGAGGTGATGAAAAAGGAGGTAATCAAATTGCTTCAAATGGGAATCATCTTTCCCATTTCCGATAGCAAGTGGGTGAGTCCTACTCAAGTGGTGCCAAAGAAGACCGGAGTAACGGTCATTGAAAACAAGGATGGCGAGATGGTGCCCACCCGAGTTCAAAACGGG